CCTTTAAGTAAAAATTAATTGAAAAAGCAGAGTCTAAAATGTGTCTGCCTGGGTTTAAGTTGGGTTAGCTGTGGTCAAGACTCCTGACTTGACTGTGGCAGTAATAACCTGTCACCTGGTTGGTATTAGGCGCTGTAAAAAGCCCACACCGACAGTTGACAGAGCCGACAGAGGGTGACACGCTGCGGCATGCACTCCCCTAAATGAGGAGCGCACCGTGAGGAGATGACACCCACCGAGCACCCTGCTTACACTTAATGCAGCCTGTTAGGAAGCCACAGACACACGTGTAAAGATAGAGAAGAGGATGGATTAGATAGTTTTAACAATATTCAGTAAATCAGCAGGAAATGAGACTGTTTCCTCAAAAACAGATGTTAATCGGAGAGCTTCCCTTGGGATCAGGAAAAACTTAATGATTTGAGAAAACCCATTACGACATGTGTGTGCGGTGGGCATAGCAGAAGCTCTCAGCAGGTACCTCGGCCTCTCCCTCCCTCTGCTCCCCAGGCGAGTCACACTGATGACATCAACTAGTGTGAAAGTGGCCATTAGTTCCACCTCATCACTGTGGGACAAATATAGCAGCACGGGACTTTGATCAGACGCGGAGGACAGCTGTAGTGAGGGGGCGGCAGAGGAAACCTGGCCATGAAGAAGAAGATGATGATACACTGCATTCACTGAGCGCCTCCTCCCAGATTCTCTGTCTCCCACTCCCTCGCATCACGCTGTCAGGACTAGGAACACAGCGGCCCCAGGGAAGCTAACAACATATCTGCATTGTTCTGCAAGAGGTCATTTAGATTTAGCATCATTTGAATAAGCTCAATTAAAGATACAGTATGTAACTTTCCGGAGGTGGAACATCACCTGCATGATTCCATGGAAATAGAAATTTAAAAATATTTTGGAATATTCTCCATGGAAGATTGTAGTGTAATGGTACAATATTCCCATGGAAACAAGCAAAAGGAGGTTCTCCTCAAGGCCAAGTAAGAGCTGTACAGATTGTACAGAAGTATTTGATGCTAATTATAAGCCCGATTGATTTAAGTTTTGAAACTTTTAAACTTTTTTAGAAATTATGCAAAATTTTCATTTGTACGCCAGTTTTCATTAAGATAATTTGCTCAAATACTAAATAAGATATCCAAAAATATGTTTGTATATGCCAAGAAAATTAAGCAAGAGATTTAAGCAAGACTTTTTAATGTTTCCAAATTCCTAAATGTTCTAAGTACTGTACATGCATATTTACAGAACAGGTGAAACTTAAAAAAAAAAAAAAAACTACACATAAAATGTGTTATTTAGATAAGAAAATATTGCATGATTAAAAATTATTATATCTATAAAATAGTGGCAAAAAACTGTGTGGTGAGGGTGTCTGTGTTGGTGGTGGTCAGAAGGGCTTATGACACACATTGGCAGCCTTGCTTCTGTCACCCCAGAGTGGCTGTGGCTACAGGAGTGGGGTATTAAAATAGATCATCTCTATATGTAATCTATAAGTTAGCAGATTTTCTCAATATGTGTTTTTGTCTAGGACAGAGAGTTTACCCTGTGCAGGTGTGTACTGCTGGACACCTGCTCAGGGCCTTCTGACAGAGGGCACATCTGACAGGCCTTTCATTAGGCTCCACTCTCTCTGAGCTTTAGATGCACCTGGAAAAGAAAGGCACACACAGGCACATACATGCTTTCACACAAACACCACAGCATTTTAAAATGATGCTGAATTTGGAGATTTTAGTTCAAGGCTTCAGGACAAACAAACATGCAGCGAGTATCTAGGGGATGATTTTAATGATTGTGACAACGTGGCTGAACTTCTGAACTTCAGAACGACCAGCGACCCATGAATGAAACCCACTGCTGTATGCCAACATGAAGAGGAACCAGAACCACAACAGGGTGCAACAATACCTTCTTATCTGTTTCTGGTTTTAATATTGTGACCATTTCTATAAGGGACTACTCACGATGCTGTACAGTAGTAAAACATAAGTGTCATAAAAAAGATGACTGCATTTATTTCAGTCTTGTATCCTGCTCACAGGGCATCCGTCACACAAAAGAATAAATAACTGAAGCCCACTTGTGCCTTGGCACAAAGACTTATGAGGACCTGTTTGCATTTCAGAGCCACCAGGTGTGTGCAGTCTCTAGTGTGCTGGATACTGAGTTTAAGAGATGTCATATTTGGAGCCACTTAGAGCTGTATTGTTTTGTTGTGTGTTCAAAGCAATATACTTCAAACAAGCAGGGCTTATTAAGTTGAGCTAAAGTTGCCACCTGTAGATTATGGTAGATGTGAAGTGTCAAAATCTCTTTTGAGCCACAAATAATTTCAAAGATCATATTGCTGTTGCATCTCTAGTGCTCTGAACAGCTTACACACTGGGAGGTTTTACAAAGCTGTGACACAACCTGATTATTACAAACTTTTGTTTGCTCAAGTGACTGATGTGCTCCATGAAACATCTGTCATCTTTCCTCTAACCTCACACAGTCTCTCTTACATTAGGTTTATGTCGCAAAGCGCTGGAAGTCGTTAACCTAGAGAAATGCCAATCACGTTTCCTCAACCTCATTTTGGAGCTGAATGGTGCAATCTGAGTGAAATGTACCAACCTGAGGAGTGAGACGAGCAGTTTAAATATATCCTTGTTTTCCCCAAAGACTCCACAGGTGTCAGGAGCAAGAGGCAGTGTTCTCTGTGGTGAGATAAAGCAGTGTCCCAGCGAGCCACAGCCCTCAGAACATGAGATCAGTGGAGCATATTCAAAAGACATTAGAGGAGCTCCTGTCACAGTCCTGTGATAGAGAGTGGATCAGGCCTCAGCTCACTCTACATGCCTCCTGTGTCCCAGAGCCAGGGGAGAGGACCACTACACTGGTGAAAGGATCTCATGGTCCCATCATGAGGTGCTACTGTGTCCCGGGACGTGTTAGGGGAGGGCAGAGAGGAAGGGATCGCTGCCCGCTCCAGAGGCCCTTGTTCACTCTGTAACTTACATTAAAGAAAGTTCTAATCACTGCGGGGACTTGGCCAATGATGTGCTTATCAAACGGCATATTTCAAAAAGGCATCTTAAAAGGCCCGAGGGCGAAGAGGCAATAAGAGCACATTTGTATGTGGATGAAAGGGAAAAGTGTAGACAGACCTTGCATCAGAATACAGAGGGGGGGATCATTAGCATCCCCTGCAAAATATGCACAAGCACAGCAACGATCCAGCCATGACACAGAGCCGTTATTGGTTTATGCTGCACCCAAAAAGAATGAGAGAACAAATACATTTTTAAACAAAAGCCAGGCTCATGAAGGAGACATCAGGGGCCTGAGGTGGCACAGCTGTGGGTCAGACCAGTGAGGAGCCCTTCTCCACAAAGAGCAGAGTCTGAGAGCTTTGATGTGCCAGCACAGGCCTGGAATCAGAGCAGAGGACATAAGCGGCGACACTTTCCCCTGTACTTTAAAGCCACTGTCTGACTGTCTACAGCATTTACACAAGAGGCCATGAAAACCTATTTCCTTATCTGCATGAACTGGACCTATAGTTCCTCAGTGCAGCTGCAGTCTACAGAAGAAAGTGAAACAGTCATATGGTCTAAAAATTCTAATTCTGATTTGCAATAGAGATTATGCAAAGGAGTTTGTTAAAGTATAGATCATGCTCAAAAAGGTGCATAGGCCTACAGGTAAACATTTTGTCCACTTTTTGTAGAAAGTTGATTCATTTGAAGGATTTGTGAAAGCTGCTACCAGGCTGCAATAGACTAAGAGAAGTGATAACTGGTGACTAATACAAATAAGGGTCTAATGTCTGATTTAACAAAAGTAAGAGTGCAATGGTGTTAATGTGGTTCAGACTGAATACAACACATCAGAGCTGTGTTTAGGTCAAAAACAGAGAAGTGCTGATAACATAACCACCAAAAATAGACTGTCATAATATTATGTCTGATCAGTGCATATGTGGACTGTTCAAACTGCTAATAATGCAGTTTTTGTCACTTGGGAAGATTTAGGTTCACAATGCTGACGGCAGATGGAATGGGAGGGTCCAGATAGATGTGTTTCGAGGGAGCATTTAGAGAAGATAGTGTCTGCTAACTTAGCAAGATTTACACATATTACTCACTTATGGATACTTTAGCATAACAGAGAGACAGGAAGAAGCAATCTATAGACGAAAGCAGTGTTTATGTAACATACAAGACGCAACAACACACACACCATCAGACCCAGTTTAGAAAGCCAATTTGGGATCAAGAGACCAATTATCTTCATTATTCTCTCTTTCCTTCAATTACACATTTCCACTTGTTTTTCTGCATTCTATTTTAGCCCTGTTTGCATATGGCTAAATGTGTTGAAAGCGAAATTCAGGAGTGTACACAACTGCTAAGAACCCACAACTGTTTTATTTTTATATTCAAACATTGTAGTATTGCCTGAGGAATAGCACCGATGAATAATGATGGAGCAACAAAGCTGTTATTATATGCCACAAACAGTGTAAAACCTCTGGGCCCAGGCTGTTGTGAATATTGGGCAACTGTGTCCAACCACTATACACCTACCTGCACATTATTAGAATAAACTGGTGCATGTATGAGCAGATTAAAATGGCTGTCAAGAAAAGACATAAACCCCATGAAATAGTGGCACAATATTTCTGTCTAACTCAGAGATCAACTTGCATTAAAACTGATTAAAAAGGAATCAAGGGCCAATAGGTATCTGGGATCTTAAATGAAATGAAGAATCTGATTAGTGTGCTATCTTCAAGAGCCTGTTGGAGGAGATAAGCTTCTGTCATCACACTGTTATAGGCATGGGAGTCATGCGTTATTCCTGTTATGAACAGAGAATGAGATGATGGGAATATGTCTGAAACTGTGCTCACATGATGTAGGGATGTGTAAATCTACATGTGTATAAGATGGCATGGATAACTAGAAACACACACACAAGTATGAAAACAAATGTACATATATTCATATTTTTATTTATATTTCATTTCTGGGAGGATATCTTGTACACCAAATATCCCATTGGCAGTTAAGCGCATTCAATGTGTTTAGAAGCCAGAAACAGTCACTTGTTTTAACAAACACAAATACAAAATAAAGATAACAACAAAATAATGAACTGCATGTTAATAACATACAAAAATCCCATGCCTACTCAGTAGGTAACTTCAACATTCCAGCTCTTGAAGATATGGATATTTACACTTAGGTTTTACAAAAATATATTTTAGAACTTTTGTCCTTTTTTGCTTACATTCAAATGAAATGAAGCGGTGCCCTCAGCGCTCTTCCCTTCTCTCCCTCTGAGTACGACTACATTCTGTAACAAAAATATTCCCTTAACCCTTAAGGCCAGATGCCGAGCATCTTCTCTCGTGTACAGCCGCGTTACAACAGCAAGGCTTCACAAAGGCACCAAATAACGGGAGCATTTGTTTTTGAAAAGGTTTTTCTTTTCTCTATTTCCATTTACCCAGGCGATATGTTACATGTGGTAGTACCAGTGGATGATATTTACAACAGAAAGTAACATCACTCTTACTCATGCTTAAATACTAAGTGCTTTTATCAAACAAAACGTTATCACAGCATCACTATATAATAGAGAAAGAATGTAGAAAATATGGCCCTGTCACTTCAAATAATACAATGCAAATATGCCAATAATTTCACATCAATGGTACCAAAGAATGATGAAACAAAACATGGCACATGTACAATATACATATACTGTAGCTTATGTATATGATTCAGTGTCTCTTGTGCCTGCGCAGGCATCGAGCACGGCCACTGCTGGCATTGTCTGAGTCTGTGATTTGTACCGAAAAGATTCGTCAGTGCTGGCTTCAACTCCTGTTTGTTCAGCCCCTTCTGCATGTGAAGTGCTGCATTTGCTTTTCGGAGGTGGAAAAAAGTCCCATTTCATTTCATATTGTCTGTGCCCAGTCCTTGACACGTCTTACATGTAAATCTGCGATTCACCTAACACTGTACAGGGCGCATACACACAAGTGCTTTTGGAGGCTAAACAAAGTCTTATCAATGCTGGATTCAAAGACTTGAAAAAGAGTTTGTAAGAACAGTTTTAGCATATTTCAATTGTCCGAGGGGAAAGTGTGGTCTGCATGTCTGACAGAGGGGTGGGCACAGGGGAGCTGTAGATGTTTGAGGCTACTGATGTGGGGAAAGACGAGGCTACCTGCGACTGAAATGTGTTGGACATGGAGACTGTGGGGTAGGTCGTGGCCACTGAGGGCGAGGGGTAGGAGTGCACAGGAGAGGAGTAGCAGGAGGTAACAGGGGAGGGGTATGAGGACACTGGCGAAGGGTATGAGGTGATCGGGGATGGGTAGCTGGAGGCAGGGGAAGCTGCCGATACTGGGGTTGCTGTTACTACAGCTCCTGCCTTTTCTGCCTTCTTGTCCTTCTGCCGCAGGTGGATCTTTGTGTGCCTTTTCCTTTCGTCACTGCGGGCAAACTTCCGGCCACAGATCTCACAGGCGAAGGGCTTCTCTCCTGTGTGTGTACGTATGTGCGTGGTCAAGTGGTCGCTACGGCTGAAGTTGCGCATGCAGATGCGGCACTGGAAGGGCTTCTGTCCCGTGTGGATGCGGATGTGTCGTGTCAGTTCATCTGAGCGAGAGAAGCGCCGGTCACATGTCTCCACGGGACATGCGTACGGTCGCTCGTGTGGAGGGGTCTTACTGGGCCGCGTGGGGTACTTGCGCATGCGGCTAGGCTTGATGAGCTGGGACTGGTACACACTTTTTAAGTCCTGAGAACCAGTCTGTGTGGCAAAGGCTTTGATGGTGGACAGGGGTGTCAGCGAGGGCTGGCTGGGCTGGCTCTGGAAGGGCTTCTGGTCTGGGGGGACCAAGCTGATCTCCCCCTGCTGCTGAGGGAAAAGGTAGTCAGGGATCATGGGCACTGGGAAGCTGCTGGGACAGGTTTTACTGTTAGGATACGCAGGGGGAGGGTACTGTACTGTTCCCCCTGAGCTAAAGCCCTGGCCCTGGTCAGGGAAGATGTCTGAGTTGGGGCTTGAGTAGGCAGGGGCGGCGGTGTAGATGAGGTTGGGCTCGCTGTGGTGTATGGAGGCGCTGAGGCTGGCCGCAGAGGACGAGGGGGAGGTGGAGGTGGAGGAGGAGACTGGAGCAGAGACAGTGGAGGAGGAAGAGGAGGTCTGAGAGCTGCTGGAGGAAGAACTGGAGTTGGACTGAACACTGCTCATGAGCCCAGTGAAGAGGCCCAGGATGGGCTCGGCCCACAAGCTGTTACTGCAGGAGGTGGCGGGCTCCAGTGTGAAGCGCCCCGTGTACGAGATGGGCGGCAGCCTCTGGGTGGAGTAAGTCTGTTCTGATTTGTCACAGTTGAAGGGGAGATCTGGTAATGTGTCTGTGGGCACAAATAAATACAAGACACATGAATCAAACTGTCAACATAAAAAAGTTCATAGCATTTTCATCACATAACTTTTTACCTCTAACTCTGAAATGATAGGAGCTCAGGAGCCAGCAAAGCCCTTTCATACTCATATCAACCCTTCTCTCAATCTGTCTCTCATTTCTCACGCACACAACACTCACATTCTGAAGCCCATTTCTGAGCCTAAGGCGATTGATTACTGAAACTGCAGTTCAGCTGGTTTTAGGAATGTAATTTGAATTGAGCTATAGGAGTGTCTAGAGGCATGTGGTGACTGAGCAGTGCTGGAGTCTTCCACAAGTCCACTGGGATAGAAGCTGCCAATGCATTACCTTCATGTTCAATGTTTTAATATCGAATCAGCAAAAAGTGTACTTTTTAAAAAAATCTCTTTTTATCTCTTTTATCTTTTTTTATGTATACATTTTATTATTAAGCTATATCATTTAAGATGAAACTGCATTATTTTACAAAATGTTCCATTATTTGATAATCTGATTAAAATGTTGTATTAGTTCTTGCTGAACTGGAGAATGAACATGCATCACAAATGAATATTTCTTACCTCCAGTAAGGTGGTCATACTGCTCTCCGGGCTCGCCGGATCCAAAGCCTGCACCCTCGGGTGCGGAGGCGGTGAGGAAGGGTGTCCCTGCAGAGCTGAGCATCATCACTTCCTCCAGCTTGGGGTAGTTATCCATGGGGGAGTGAGGGAAGCTGAGGGGCTCCGAGATCTGCAGGGCTGGGAGGATCATCTCCGTCTTGGCTGCAGCCATGCTCTGGTGCTGGAGCTGCAGACTGGCTCACAGGTGCAGGAGGAATCTCAGTCCACACACTTCTGTTCACACCAGGAGGATGCTGAGGGCTGCTTGCTCCACAACTCTTCGCCAGCTGTCCGGCTGGTTTCACAGATGAATAAAAATCCACTTGTCTTTGCAGAAAAAATCACAACTGTCCTTTATGCACATTCCCTAAAACTCGTCAAAATTAATCATCTGATTAATCTTGATTTGTTTTGAGTGTGAAATTACTTTTCCAGTCAGGTGCTGACCTTCTTGGATAGATGTTGTTTTTAGGGCGTTTGACTTTTGTTGTGTTTGGGAGTCTATGTGTTTGTCAATCTAGTCTGCTCTAACAGTTGCGCTAGTGAGCTCTGAGGGCTGTCTCTGAGCCGAGAGGTTCCCTGCGCCTCTTATACCCTCTTGCCGTGACGTAGATGTCCATATTTGGAGAGGAGGAAGCCCATATTTAGGCAATGCAGTGGAGGACACATGACGCTGGCCTCGGGGAAAAGCAAAGAGGAGCGACTTTATATTAAGCTCTCACCATAAATTGCGAAGACAACGTCGCGCTTCTTTCGCTCCGAATCAATGTGTTTTCATTGTAGAACAGCTCCGCCAGACAGCAGCGTAATTCTTGTTCGCTAGCCTTCGCCTTGTAGATTAGATTTGGATTTCCCATCTGTGCAGCAGGCTGCGCTGCTGCCGGAAAGCCCGGCTCCGTCGTGCCTTATAAGGTCGTGACTACATAAGGATCTATTCCGGTGGGTTTCCATTTCCCTGCCCTTATTTGGGACTTCCTGAAGCAGCACTGATCGCTCTTTGGCAGTGAATGAGAGACCGGAGTGCAAATCATGTCCAGCCTACAATAACTAAAGAGCGCACTGTTGCCCTGTTAAAAACATAAGACATAGGCTACGGCTAAACTGACACGTAGACTTTGTAGTAGTAGGCTACATGAACTTCGAACGTTTTCAAACTTTGTATCTCAATATTTAGGCTAAAGGAAAGACTCCCGTTATGTGCACAGCACATATGCATGTCATTGCTGAATTGTAACAAACCTATTGTGTTGTGTAACTTATAAGTTATGTTTTAAGCGTAAGGGGAAAGCATATGCTCTTACAAAGTTGCTCTAAATAAACTTGTGGTTTACTTTACACAGTGGCATTGATGAATGAGTGCGGATCGCAGCGGATGCTGACGAGGTGCGGGCCAATCCGTCTAATTGAGGGGTGTCCCCGACTCGATATTGAGGGAATCTCTGTGCCACTCAGAGGCCTAATGGGCCACATTAACAACGCTGCGCACAGCTGCCAGCACGCCTGCGGGATACCGATGTTCCCCCCGGCTGCTAGAGCATCGCCTGGCGACTGCACCGCTCGCTAGATGCTGACAGCAAATCAATGTGTTCCCCTAGTTGCTGACTGGATCTATATGCACGCTCATTGGCAAACATTGTGGGCAGGACACTGAAGCGGCCGCAGAGGTGCATGTGGGGTCCTTGTTCACGGAGGCAAAGTCAGGTAAGACACTTACTTCACACAGAGTAGATCTGCCGTTTATGGGGCTTTAGGGCATTTGCTATCAGTGTTATTACCTCTAGTGCATGGCGCAATCAATAATATAGAAGGCTATAGTCCATATTAGACTGGCATTAAGAATAATAATAGCCTAATAATAATTATTTTACACAAACAAACACATGCATGCAAATGCAAGTTACTGACTATGCAATAAAGCCACATATTGATATCATGGCTGTGATAATCAGTGGGAGAGAAAGAGGTAAAAGTGCAGATGAGAGAACTCAGAGATCTGATGACAGTGTAATAAAATCGAGTTATAGAAAAGTGTGTGAAAAGTAATAAAGTAATAAAGATGATAAACAGATGACAGAGGAAGGAGGGGCTGGTGCAGAGGTGAGGCTGTTATGATGATGGCACATGTATGTTGTTGTTTGAGTTAGCCTTTTCTTTTAGCTCAGAGTTCCTGGTGCTGCCCACACGTCCTGCCGCAGTGATGAAACTCTGAAGCCTTAAAGCAGCCAGCAGGAAGCCTCTCTCCTGTTCAGGCTACACCACACCCCTGTCATTCACTCAAACACACCCTGCATGAGCTATGTTAAAGTTTAATCTTGCCCCAGTGTGGAATGGAGGAAGTGGAAATGCAAAAAATAATAAATAAACGGGAGGAGAAACAAGCAGGAAAAATGCAAATAGAAAAATGCAAAATATTACAATAAGACACAATAGCTTGTTGTTTAAAATGACCATAGCCAGGATACTTCTAACATGGCACATTTGCATCGTCATGGAGATTAGGACACATGCCAAAGTGAAGTAATGCTTTCCCATACTATGCCATATATTTGTTGTGAATTGTTTTGACTTGAATACTAACTCGTACTGTAGTGCAAAATTGATGGAAAGAGCTGCACTAAACATGATGGGTTGGGGATGGGACGTGTTTTGATAAATGCCATTTTGAAGGCAGCAGCGGGGTTCAGGTTGACCTTTGGAACAGCCAAATGTGTGTGGGAAAATATGAGGCGGCTTAAGATCAGACAGGATGGTATATTTGAGGAAAACCATCAATGTAAAGAATACAAATTAGGCATTGATACTGACAAACAATGACAGTTTCTATACAGCAAGGTCAAAGAAACCCCTTGTTGTGTAGGATTTGTTTCAAGGAGACCACTGTAAAGAAATCAGCTTTATTTTTACAAACTTGTTTGTATTACTTTAGTACAGCTTTCAGTACTGTCTATACTCCTGTTATCACAATCTGCCTTGATGTAATCTGATGACAGTGAAGCTGTGGAAGCTACAGGCCTTTCTTTGCTGTGGAATGCTGCAGAGGAATGTGGCTCTGAGGTGTACAGTTGAATTTCACTATAATTTTGTTGAGTGTGAGAGCTGACTGACACAAAGTGATTTACTAAAAAAAAACTCTTTTCTTTGGAGCAGGGTTGTTGTATCATCATAAAAAGGATATTGCATATCTGCTTATCTGCTCTCTAAAGGTGGTGCAGGTGACAAGGAAACAATTACCATATGTGTACTAAAAACAGGCACCCTGACTGACCTGGCTATGGCCTGCAGCCCCCTGACTCACTGCAGGAGCCTGCGGCTGCTTTGTTTGATGCTTTAGTCAAGAGGAGATGACCCTTGAACTTTGTGCTCCCAATGAGTCACTGATGCAGCTCAGAGAAAAGGGGCTTCCCCGTACCACACTTTCACAGCCACAGCACCAATAACATTTAAAGGTTGTCACAAACAGCTCTGTGGTGGTGCCATGTGTGTAGGAGGGCAGATGTGGAGTAATAGGTCAGATCACTGCCTCCTTAACACATCTGTTTAGTAATCAATTTTGTGAGCTCTTTTTTTTTTTTTTGCTAGGAATTAAAATGTCAGTAATAGTTCTGAGGAAAACATACACGACCTGGTCAATAAGAGTAAACCAGAACTCTATCATGAAAAAGGAGTACAAAACCAAAGCAGTTCAATAAAATCAATAGATTTTTTTACTGTTACAGTAGTGCACAATACTGTTGTGGAAGAAGGCAGTGTTATTTGAAGTAGCAGTGTTAAGTGTTAGTGTAGAATAAACTGCAGTATCCCGAGAGGTGAGAAGAGCCATGACGCTGGAGTTCTTACGCAGAAGAAGTTTATTTAACACTGGTACAGGATCCAGGACCCAGGGACATGGATCCTCAAGGCATTATGATAGTGTTGTCCAGTATGGCTATGTTTCCATTGTAGGGCGTATTATACCTCTGATTACATAGGCCAAGATCACAAGGACTGAGCTGGCAGTAAGAGCTTCCAGTAGAGCATGGAAATGGAATTTCTCTAACAACTAGTAGTAAGTAGTAAAGTACTGGCAAAACTACAGTGCAGAATACTATTTGCTGTTCTACAGCTGTTTTATTGTGTAGGGCAATGTAGTTGTATTATTAAACAGATTATGGTTTATTAATTTTGAGTGAACTCACTTTCACATGTGCTGACATCTTGATGTGAAGCAGGAGTAAGACAGGAGCAGAAGAGAGCTTAGGGAGTCAGAGACATGAGCCTGCGTCCAGACAGAGCTGCAGCCACTGGTTTGTTGACTTTAGCAAACACGTTCTGGGTGTGACTGTCAAGTTCAGACACAACTATTTCCTCCGCAGTCTTCGGATTTTTAAAAGTCTTTATTGCTTATGCAAGAGCAGCAAATTGTTTTGGTTTTTGTTTGTTTTTGGAAGTTATTATTTCATCATATTCTTCACTATTCTATAGAGTTATACATTTTTTATCACAGTATTTTTTGCCTTTTTGCTCTATAAATCTTATTACATTGTAGAAACGTTTAGTTACTTGAGGACAGCAAAAACATTTTAGATAAAAGAATCATTCTCAAATATTCTGAATCTTAAAAACTCCCATATTTGGATCAGGAAGGACATCTGACATAAAATGCAGCAAAATGAGATTATTTTCTGTGCAACCCTAAAAAGTTGCATTCAAAAAGTGACTGAATGAGATGTCACCTGTCTCTCAAAATCAGCTGTCCAAAACTCACATACAAAATAATAAAAGTTGAAGATGTTGTTTTGATAGATTCCTTGGGTCCAATGGCCAGAGATCTTCCCAATAAAGTGAGAATGACACTTTATTTCAGGTGAGACTTATTTGTTTTGTTGTGTTGCAGCCTGAGCGCAACTTCAAAAACAGCAGATAAATGGTTAAAAAGAGGCAGTGATGGAAGAGTGAAGAGAACGAGACTGTCGCCGGCGTGTTTGACAGGTGCCGCCCCAGGGCAGGTACGACAGGTTGATTCAGGTAAGCCCCCCACCCCTCCTCTCTCACCCCCTGTCCCAGCTGGAGAGCTTCGGCGCAGGATAGCCTACAGCCTGAAGAGATAGGTCTCCATCAGAATACACTGCCAGCTTTTACAATTAGACATCAACAGCTGCCATGACACAGTGACAGGCAAGATAGACAAGATGACAAACAACAGCACTCAAATACTAGATAAAACAAGTGAAAAATAGAGAGAAAGGGACCAAAATTAATATCTGTCAGAAATGTTTAGCTTTTGGGACAATTGTATCAGAAGCAGTTCCAGTGGGATGTAACTTTGTGTTATTCTGTGGTTTGGCTTTTGATTCAATAAAACGTTGCAGCTCTGCGCCGGCTATTTAGAGTGAAAAGTAATTAGAGAAAATCTAATTTGCAATAATGGCTTAATTTTAGATCATCTGTTACAAATGAAAACTGTCAGAGGAGTGTTTTTCCCTCCCAAGAGAAACATGGAAAGGACAGGGTTTGCGGGTTAATGCCAAGGACTAGATTAAGGAGACAGGATTCATACATAATGCAGCCATTTACCTTAATGGGAGGAACGTGAC